GTTATTTGTGGGTATAACTCACTTTCAAATATAATGATCAAAGAAACTACTTTTGGAACGACGCTTCCGAAATCTGTCTACTGATCAATCGCTCCGTCTATTAAACTTATTGAACTATTGATTGGTTGATTGATTTAATAATTGACTGACAAAAAAACTGACGAGCACCGACAGCAATTTCAAATTTTCATTTATCTAACTCCGAAATGTTTCAACTTAAACAGCTAGGAATCTGTGCGCAACAACGACATGTCGTAATGGAGGTACATGCGTTTCTGATTTGAACACATGTACAGCTAGCTGTACGTGTCCAAGATGTTACATGGGAAATTTGTGTCAAATAGGTACTGTTACTAAATTTGAAATGGTTTATAAAACGGCAATGGCTACTGCTACACCCGACTTAAACATACCAACTTCTGGTTATATGCTGTTGTTATAGATGATATTAGGCCAATGAGATTCAATCAGAATTAGACATTGTTTTGTGTCAGATTTCAAGACTAGTGTAAAAATAGCCACTGCCCTTTAAAATTTCCAAAATAATACAGTTCGCCCTCCAATTCGAGACCACCTTTGGGATCTAAAAAATTGGGGTGGTCTCGGGGTTGGTCTCCAATTAGAGGGCTAGCTTTGTGTTAAAAAGTTGAAGATTGTTGGGTCTTTGGAAAAGTGGTCTTGAATTAGATGGTCTCGGAATTAGAGGGGTCTCGAATTGGAGTATGCACTGTAGCTAAGCATGTCAATAAGTTGACCTTTGGTGGTCATGACAATTTAGTAATCGCATAGGTTATAATAATGTTTAGACCGAAATACTAGCTAAATTATTATTGAAATATATTTCATTATATATATTACTTCTAACAGAAAAGAACCCATGTGCATCAATCAACTGCCGAAATGGAGGAACATGTTTGAATGATCTAAACTCATGTACTGGATCGTGCCGATGTAAACCGTGTTTTCAGGGCGACCGTTGTCAAATCGGTAAACTAGATTTACTATTGTATATTAAAATTCGAATGTAAGAACATTTGTAGGCCTATTTTGTAAAAACAAATCAATCGGAGGCGTTTCTGACACCGCCATTTCCTGGCTCCTTGTCCTGAATAATCGTTATGATTTTGTACAGAAGCAGAAGTAAAACTATGAGATTTGATAAACTGTAGGCCATAAAATGCATTGAAACAAACAATAAACATGGTTGAAGTTACAATGCATTTTTTATATAGATTTAAGATATTAAATCTATAATCATTTTATTACGCTTAGTGTCTTTGATATTTTTTTTAAATAATGTAAATATTTATCTTTTAAAAACAGCCCAAGATCCATGCGCTCAAATCACATGCCAAAATGGAGGAACATGTGTTGCTGATTTAAACACGTGCTCTGCTACGTGCCAATGTAAAACGTGTTTTACTGGTGACTTTTGTCAAACAGGTAAGACAACTTGCATGTAATTAATATATAGTCAGTGACAGTAAATGTGTAGATGTTCCAGTAAAATATTATTGGTGCCTATTTTATTCACATGTTCATTGGAAATGAACTGAATAAATTTAAACATTAAAATTGCTTTAAAGTTTATTTTCAGTCAGATAAATCTTAAATATAATGTGATAATCTTAATACATACATATCTTTATATCTTTTTCTTTAACGATTCAATAAAATTATAGTAACATTTTCAGTCATTATTTAGCTTAAAAAATGTATTTATTAGTTATGGTATTTTATGCAATAATTATCTGAATGTGTATACATATAGTTTATAGGCCTATATATTTTTTTTGTTAATAGCTGTTGATATTTGCGATGGTATTAATTGTCAAAATGGCGGTACCTGCGTTGTGGACCGAAACACATGCCAGACCTCCTGTCAATGCAAACAATGTTTCAACGGCGATAGATGTCAAAACCGTAAGTACTCAATTTTAAAATATGTTATTTTTATTAGTTGGGTTTTGTATGCAATGCTTATCTAAATGTGTACACTGATAGTGTATGTATGTTTTTTTAATAGCTGTTGACATTTGCAATAATGTTAATTGTCAAAATGGCGGTACTTGTATTGTGGACCGAAACACATGCCAGACGTCATGTCAATGCAGACAATGTTTCAACGGTGATAGATGTCAAAATCGTAAGAATACTTATTTAATTTTTAAAATTAATACACCTACCTCTAATCTCAATTTTGAATTGAAACTGTTGTGATTTTCTGAGGGATTTCTGATATTTAATATAAAGAATATTTTATAAAACAACCTTCTGTGTAATAGATGTACACTTTGAACGGAATATTATCGGGTAAAAATATAACTATGTATGAATTAATTTTACACTGAAGATTATCTATAGAAAGATACCATGTTATGAGTGTAAATTCCTGTTTAAAATAATTACATAACAATAATGTAAAGTAACAAATACTGTATTTAAACCCAAATTATACGCTTATACAAATGTTAAATTGTTGGTAGTTAAGGTTACCTTGTAGTACATAAAAACGTCGAAATTCATCTAGGGGAACCTTAACAATACATTATACAGATATAATTATTATTGATGAAAAATATAATGAAAATTTGCAATATATATTATTATCATCGTATAATATATTATAATAATAAAGTAGTAATATATTATATTATATTATATTATATTATATTATATTATATTATATTATATTATATTATATTATATTATATTATATTATATTATATTATATTATATTATATTATATTATATTATATTATATTATTTTCATCTCCCCTTCCGACGACACGTTTTAATTTGTCTACTAAACGTAGAATAATACACGACTTTCACGAAATCTATTTGAGATCTAACACAAATGGTTCTTTTTATGTTTATGTGGCCTACTTTTATTACATTTTTTGGTCATAAATCCACATAACACACACAAACAAACAAACACAAAATTCACTCGCATGCACTCAGTCGTTATGATTTACATCTCTTGCATTATAAATTTGTGCACAATGTTAATTTACCTTTACTATACTGGCTATTTTAATGGTATAGCTGTTGACATTTGCCAAAGTGTCAATTGTGAAAATGGCGGTACTTGTGTGGCTGATCTAAATAACTGTAGAACATCTTGTACATGTAAACCATGCTTCAATGGCGAACGATGTAGAAATCGTAAGTTAAATCTATTTATTCCATTCTATGTGATTCTACATTAAATTTAATCAAATTTGGTATAATAATAAATAAAATAATTTAATAATGAAATAATAATATACATAATAATATTAATAATAATAATAATAATAATAATATTATTATTATTATTATTATTAATATTATTATTAATGATAATGATAATAATAGTAATAATAATAATAATAATAATAATAATAATAATAATAATAATAATAATATATTAATATTATTTGTATTTGAATAGACCTCAAATATCTTTGACCTGTACCCATGAACATTGTAATTTAATGTGTGTTATTATTTGAAATTAGTAGTAATAATAGATAAAACATAAAAAGCTCGGTGTAATGTTGCCTTGTTTTAAGAGTAAGAGTAAAATAGTATTATAGGCCTTTTTAGATTTTAAAAAGAAGATACTAATTAACCTTTCAGAATTTGACAAACTTAAAAACTGACCATTCAGAACAGGATACGATTCAATGTACTCTATACACTTGGGTCTTGACCTATGTTACGTGAAATATTATTAATATTTATTATTATTATTATTATTATTATTTGACATTTTCAGCCATTGACATATGTCAAGGAGTCAATTGTCAAAATGGTGGTACGTGTAATGCTAATCTAGACAAATGTGACACTTCATGCACATGCAAATCTTGTTTTACGGGTGATCGATGTCAAAACGGTAAGTATCGATGTGTTAATAGATTGCTTTTTTGATCTTCATGACAACATTTATACTACTGTTTATCAATTAATCAATGAATTAGATTCGGTATCGTACACAATTAGGGGTAAAAGTTTAACGTATTTTTGTTTTAGCTGTTGATATATGCCAAAGTGTAAATTGCCAGAACGGAGGTACCTGCATCCCTGATCTTAACACATGTACAACCTCATGCATGTGTAAATCCTGTTTCACTGGTAATAGATGTCAAACAGGTAAGTTAATGGATCGTTATTTTTCTTTGTATAATTAGCTTAAATTCTAAAATCTGACATTTTGTCGTTTAAAAATTAAAATTCATGTTATGTTAATCATTGTAACCTGAAGAAAAGTACAATATATTCTAACAACTGTAAGTACAGAATGGAGTTACTATTGTTGTTATTATTACTATTATTATTATTATTATTATTATTATTATCATTATTACTATTATTATTGTTTTTTCAACAGCTGTCGATATTTGTCAGGGAGTGAACTGTCAAAATGGCGGAACATGTAGCCCTGATCTGAATACATGTCAGACATCATGCACATGTAAACCGTGCTTCACTGGTGATAGATGCCAAAACGGTAAGCTTTATTGATATGATATTCAGTACTTACAATATGGTTTAGTTTCACCTTAGTATTTATTATTCGATTTACACACCAAGTACCGGCCAATGATGTTCTCTATTATTTGTCAATCCAACTACAATAATTTTACCTTTAAAATATCCGTCGAATTATTCGTTGCTAAACATTGATAATCTCTGTGGGTTCTAAATAGATAAATATAAACACATATATATTTATATTTATATAGGCCTATATACATATGATATATATACACGTTTTTTTCAAAAATGTATTATTATCTTTTTTTAAATTTTATTATATATATGCATAGTTATATATATAGGGCTATATTATATACGTATATGTATATACATATATATATATATATGTTATATATGTTATATATATTTATTTGTTTATTTACAGGACTGCATTCGTTGAGGACTATGTTCCACGATGCATTATTAAGTCCTTTATTACAACACTGTATTTACCTTACTTTGATTATTTATATATGATTTAACAGTGTTAACGACTATCTTAATTTATATTATATGCACTTATTTGTTTCTAGTCGTACCTATTGTGTAATGGAGTGTATCTGGTGGTATTTGAACCTGTTCAACCATGAAGCCTCCGTGGTCTAGTGGTTATGACACTCGCCTTGACAGCGAGAGGTCGCAGGTTCGAG